GGGTTCTAGGTGGGGGGTGGGTGTGCAGGGGAGGAGGGGAGGGAGAGGGAACTGGGATTGACAAGTAAAATAATCTTGTTTCTAATTTAAATAAAAAATTGAGAAAAAAAGATTTTGAAGTATTATTGCATGAATAGTATTTAAAAAGCATGTTTATTACACAAGTTTTATAAAGACAAATAAAACGTAAGCAATCTTGAGCATTGTGCATGTTGAGATTCTTGAGTATTTTTTGGGCTGTGAGAACTTAAAAACTTTTTTTGTTTTTGTTTTGTTTTGTTTCAAGACAGGGTTTCCCTGTGTAGCTTTGGAGAGCCTGTCCTGGAACTAGCTCTTGTAGACCAGGCTGGTCTTGAACTCACAGAGATCCGCCTGCCTCTGCCTCCCGAGTGCTGGGATTAAAGGTATGCACCATCATTGCCCAGCTAAAAACTCTTAATAATAGTATATAACAAATATTTTGATAACTAAGTCGTACAAAAATAATTATCAAATGTAGGCTTTGGAAAAACTACTGCTTAGGGAAAATGTTTTCAAGTGACTTTATAGAACAATATTTTTTTATTTGTTTTTGATGAGGCCAAGGGTCATTGCGCATGCTCACCTTCCAGGAAGCTCTCTCTCTATATCGTCAGCGCTGCTGTCACTTGTTCCTTCTCTTTTTCTTTTTGAAAAATAACTTTTTCTTAAGGCTGCTTTAGATATAAAATTTTCATTTTAGAAATGGGTTTTAGGGGGTTGGAGAGATGGTGCAGCAGTTAGGAGTATTTGTGGCTCTTGTAAAGGACCCGGGTTTAGTTCTCAACACCCACATGGTGGCTCACAAACATTCAAATCTCCAGTTTCAGGGAATCCAGTGCTCTTTTCGGCACTCCACAAGCACCAGACACATGTGTGGGGCACACATATACATGAGAGCAAAACACTCACATGCATAAAAGAAATAAATATTGTAAAACTTAAAAGAAAGAAAGGGAGAGAGAGAGAGAGAGACAGACAGACAGACAGACAGACACAGAAAGAAAGAAAGAAAGAAAGAAAGAAAGAAAGAAAGAAAGAAAGAAAGAAGAAATGGCCAGGCATAGTGTCATTTGCCTTTAATCCCAGTGCTCAGGAGGCAGAGGCAGGTGGATCACCTAGTTCAAGGCCAACCTGGGTATCTACAGAGCAAGTTCCAGGACAGCCAGGTCTACACAGAGGAACCCTGTATCACTCCCCACCCCACCCCAAAAAATGTGTTTTATAGCAAAAGCAGGAAAAGGCAGGGATCAGCTGTGGAGGACTCACCACCATGCCTTTGAGGATAGCACTGCTCTTGATCAGCTACAACACTGCCTTCAAGGGCCTCGGTATACACTTGGCCTCTATACAGTAGCTAGTGTAAAAGAGAAGACTGAATTACCTCCCACTCTACCTCAACCATCCTCCCTGCCCTGCCAAAGACCCAATTTCTTCAGAATAAAATAGTCTTCAATGGCCCTGCCTGATTTTGGTCCTTAGTACTTATAATGCCTAAGCTTAGTACCTGACAGTCTACTTATGGTACTAACAGTAAACAGTACTTATAGTACCTGTGCTTAGTACCTGACAATACTTATGGTACTAACAGTAAACAGTACTTTAGTACCCGACAGTCTACTTATAGCTCTTTTTGATCTGTTGTCTTCCCAGGGGAGAGTGAAAACTTCCTGGGGGTAGTCCCAGCATCACAGGTACCATCCTGGCACTTTGTAGGTGTTTAATGCATTTTTGGTAAATATCTAATGAATTACAAAACTCCAATTTGCACCTGAGTAATGGTGAGATTGTAGCACCCTCTCTCTGTAAGGAGTCCCCACATAGACCTGCACTAAATTTCACAGCACTAAAGCGGGAGAGGCAAGAAGTTGGCACAGAAGTAATAAAGAATGGCTGCATTATTAACTAACCAGTGCATGCATTTCTAAATACCTCAAACCTAGACACATGCAATCTTAAATATATTCCAGTCCATTCTTACCCACATGTAAAGTTGCTGGGAAATGACACAGCAAAGAATCAAGTTTCCCAACAAATACTATGTCACATAGTTGATAGTCATCATAGAAATCATGAGTTTGTTTCTTTTGTTTGTTTGTTTGTTTTTGTTTTTGTTTTTCGAGACAGGGTTTCTCTGTGTAGCTTTGGAGCCTATCCTGGCACTCGCTCTGGAGACCAGGCTGCCCTCGAACTCACAGAGATCCGCCTGCCTCCACCTTCTGAGTGCTGCGATTAAAGGCGAGTGCCACCAACGCTCGGCTCTATGAGTTTGCTTCTTAAAGACAAAAATCAGAACATATTTCATATTTTTGAGACACTTAGCAAACAAAACTCCCAAAAAGCTGGAGCCATCATGGGTAAAGGAGACCCTGG